GCTGTTACAGAGACCGGAAACAGCGAGCCTTTCGAAAGTGCACTTCGACTTGAGCTAGTCATGACCGGCGTTCACAAGTTAACTTCACTACAGTCACTACAGTCTTCCCTTCCTCTTCGCCTATCTGGCTCAGGCACTAACGGAATGGGAACCTGACCAGGGGTAATCTCGGGTACATTGGCTAACAAAGTCAAGCGAACCATCTACACGCGCCACACACGTGCTGGATCTCGCATAATATACCAGACGTTCACATGGCTAATCTGATCTCGAGTGCATAAGAGCCCCATAAAGGTCACGCAAAAAAGAAGAAGCTAAATAACTCGTAAATAAAACGTGCATCTTGCTTCTGGATGTGGATGTTTCTTCAACGAGCTGTTTTAAACATTTTGGATGACAACAATTACGTGTTGGCCCTTGAATGCGCTCTTAGCCCATCCATTTTATCATCCCAAAAAGTGTTGCGTCGTCTGATTTAAATGGAGTGGAGGGGAGCGTAAGAGATGTACCCCTTCTGTTCTGGGGGCCCACGTCATTGCAAGAGGTGGCTGATAGAAATAAAGGTAAGTCCTGGAGATGAAAAAAGTTTGTCCTAGGCTTATCAGATGTCACCGGAGTGCTGGCGATGGGTAGCAGTTGTTCAAATTCCTGTTGTTTCTCTTTCTCATTTCACCAGGTTGGAGGACTATCAAGAGTGATTACTAACGCCCTTCAAAGTGTCAAATCAGTCTCGCCGTTCGGTTTGGTCTGTATAATCACTATCCTTGGTGCCAGCATAACTGAGATTGTTTCCAACTCCGCCACGGTCACTATCCTCGTGCCCATCATGTTTGATCTGGTATGTTGACCGTTTGTTTTTCTACTTTTTGCAAACATTTCTGAACTAGAGAATAGGTCCTTGATCAGTATAAAATTAAACTAACAAACCAATGTCTTACGGATCATGTAGCTACCAGTGGCTCTACGGCAATATGATTGCCGAAGAAGTCAAGTGCGTTTTTAATAACCAGTTCTATCTTATCATGCGTCATCAGGTGCATTTGATCTTTGGTCATTGAGCTGTATACCTATTTGTCTGAAATGGAAGATGGGCATCTTAGGAAGGATAATTCGACAAAATAATTTCACTGGGAAGGGTAATCTTTTCGACGCCGGTTCCCGAGGATGTGGTCAGAAACGATTAAAATGTTAAACCTGCCTGAAAAAAATTGATATTGCTTAGTCATTCCTATCAATAAGTCGGCACTGAGGGCTGATATCTATTTCCCTCTAGATGTCGACCCTTCCATACTCGCGAATGACATACAGATCGACGTCTTGAGTAACATACGAGCCATCGATTTTTCAGGACCGTTTGAAATGTTAACTGTTTCGCAAATTTACTGCACATTTGAAGAAGATCTAGGTGACGGGCTTCGCAAGTGTAGAGAATAATTTTGATTTCCCTTCGTAGACAACCTATCTATTTTGAATTGATCGCATCTATGAGACAGTCTGTGAGGATGCTAAATTGAGACCCGAGACTCGAGGGATGGCCGCAGTCCGAAGCTTTATCGGTGCATGAACAAACGCCATAGTTAACGATAATACCTTATGCTATGACAAAACCGCTCACAACTCCTCGGAATAGGAACTTTGCTTCTTTACTTTGTATGGACTGACAAGGATTTTACTTCTGTTACTTGGCACTCAACCGTTTGTGGAAAAATTGTTAAAAAACCGATGAATGTTTTTAGGCCAAATCTATCAACGTTCATCCGTTTCTGCTGAGTCTTCCACTGACAATCGCAACTTCGCTCGCATTTATGTTACCTGCAGCCACCGCGCCAAATGCAATCGTCTATTCCAAAGGCCGCGTCAAACTTGTTGACATGGTAATCCCAAAGTTATTTACTCTCATCGCCCATTCCGTCTACGTTTATGAAATATATATTATAAACAAATGAAGTTTTATTAGAAGGGAATAATGTTTATTTTGCACTTGTTCTAGCCGTGTCCCCCAGAGCGTCGTCAGACAAATGAGAGATTAAAAAACAATTGACTAAAAGTAGTATCGAACGCAAGATTTAATGATTGGCTGGAGTGTTAGCCAATAAGTGTCACCTGAATGTCAGTATCTGGTCGATAGTGGCTGTTTTTGCTTCAGTTTGACCTTGAAACATTTTAATTGGCATCTAACAAAAATACCTATTAATGCATGCGTCGTCTGAATACACTGTCTCCAGGAATTCGCAGCCCTCTTTAGTTCGACACGCGTAAAGGACTTGGTTTTTTGTTACCTTTGAAGCTTATGCCCAGTGTGTGCATGACAGGCTGAGTTGGTTGGTCTCGCCTCCTTAGCGCTGACTGGTATGCATAAATATGGATGGATAGAGATTCCCTGGTTTGACCACAATGGATTATTCAATCTATTGTGCGATTGACATCACGGCACCCGGTGTGGGCCTCGCAGCTCAGTTAGCTAGAGCGTTGGCTGTAAAAAAATCTTCTCCTGCTGGCGTGGGTTCGAATCTCACCGCAGTAGCCGAAATTTCCCGCAACTGGGTCAACTGAATAACCGGCAAAGACAAAGAAAAGGGAAATGGGCAGTTCTGGCCTATAAGCCGTTATCAGCCAACTAGGGGTGGCAACCTCCGAGGCTCCAACACGCGACCTTATTCATCACAAGGCCAATGCTCTAACCACTGCACCACGGGCTTGCTGCATTTCATTGGACTTTTAAATAACAAGGTCGTGGTTTCGAGACTCGAGCGTTGCCACTCCTGTGGCAGGATATGGCTGGCAAATGACGGTTAATAAGCCATAAATGCTCTTTGTCTGTAATGCATTTCTGCCTATAAGACAAACAGGGTGTCCCAAAAAATGTGTACACATTTCAAATAATTGTAAACTTGGTGTTTATTATAATTTTATTATTCCACAAATGAAA